GGAAAAACCTCTGCACCGTACACGTGTAATCAACGAGTGGCTAGGATCTTCTCGAGATACGCAACGGCGAAACACTTGAGTGCTCCGACAACCTGGCAGGTCGAAACGTCTTCCGTAAGGGTCATATTCCCTCTACAAATGAAAAGTCGCCACGTGTCCAAAATAAATTCGAATGAACTTCTCTGTCAGGTCGAGATCGAACCTGACAGAGAGAGGGCCAATGTTTGGGGGTAAACGTACCCGAGACACGTGGAGGACCCTTATTAGTGTTTGAAGAAACTAAATAAGAAGGATTGCTTAGGTCCACCTCGGCCCCGCCGAGGTGGCTGGGTTCGCCCGCTATAAAAGACTATGGGCACCAAGGTTCGACCTGACTAGGGTCCGACCTGCTCGGAACCCGACAGGTCCGATATGAGAAAAAGACACATAACCGTCGGTCGTGTGTACTGTCGGATCCATTACCTATAAATAGAGGACTTCATTTCACGCTCAGGTATCGAATCTCACCTCGAACTAAATACGGAGTCCGATCTATACTGACTTGAGCGTCGGAGTGCTTACCCTCTTGTGCAGGTCCACTTTAGTGTTCATGTCAGAACCGGAGACCGGGTTCGAGCTCGATTCGTGCAGAACCGTTGTGTAAATTCCTGCATAAACAACCCCCAAACAAGAAAGGTTTGGAAAAATATTAAATTTTTCGAGAGAGAAAAAAAAAGAGTGATACGTTAGAATAAAAGGAAAGAAATATAAATATATACAAATTAAAAATTTGGAGAGAGATAAATTGCATAGATTAAAATTTTAGAGAGAGAAATTTAGGCAGTAAGAAAAAAAATTATTAGAGAGAAATATGTCAAAAGTTGAACCTAAGAAGAAAAAAATGAGATTTTGAAAAACAAAAACCTGTTTCTAAAAACTATTTTTTTGTTTGTGAAATTTACTACGGATTTCAAAAACGATTTTAAAAAACAGAAAATTGAATTGGTTATCAAGAAGCTTGTTTTTAAAAAACTAAAAAACAAAAACCAAAAATCGAAAATAAAATGGTTATCAAACGTGTTTGACATTTGGCTAGAAATCAAATGTATACATAAAAAATAGGTGAAACATACACCAATTAATAAATCATTAGAAAGCAAGCATGATTTTTTTAACTGAAAACTAAAAATAAATTGTTATTAAACGGGCCTAATTTTTACATTTTTGAAAACACCTTTAAAAATATATTTGAAAAATAAAGAAGTAAATAAATGTGACTTAATGAGGCCAAAAGTATTATCAAATTGGATTTGGATTAATTAACTAAAATGAATTCCTTTAATTAAACTCATCCAAATCATTCCACACTCATTAGATATTGAGATCATCATAGAGATGTGATAATATGCAACAAAAGTTAAGGCTTTGAAACTCTTTTTACTTTTTCCCTTGATAGTATTATTTTGGATTGGCAGATGTTTTGAATCCCATTTTGCTTTTAGACCAAGTCTTTTTTGCTGCTCTATCCAATAAAAACTCAAAGAACAAAAGCCACACCAAAGAAAAGAAAGCCATTAATCCACTCAAAAAGCTTAGAACATATAGAGGAGTACCACCTTTACAAATATTATTATTTCTCACCAACCTCTTGTCTCTCTATGGAGATTATTTTATGAATATATCACATATTATATAAATTTGATTAAATTTTTATTGGTAACTAAGGGTAACGTTCACGTTTCATGTTTCGTGTTTTACGTTTCTTATCTTTTGGTAAAAGAAAAACATAATTTTCATTTGGGTATTTGTTTTTTATTTCTTGCTCTTTCTTTTTTTTTCCAATTTTATTTATAGATAACACTTAGACCAATCAATATTAATTAATACGTAATCGATTGAACGCTACTTGAAATTGAGGTTTACTCGTTAATTTTTACTTAAGTACGTAATTCAACGAGAAATTTTCTTACTTGTCCAATTTCTAATGAATCAAGAGATAACCATTCGTTCCGGTATAAAGAGTCATTATTTGTTCTTCTACCATGAGAGGGACTGCTAAGGATTATTTGAGCAACTCACGTAATCGTTGACCTCTTGTTTAAAAAGTTTATTATGCATTTTATAAGTCAATATTGATATAATATTGGTTTTATTTATGTTTTGAAAAAAAAAACATAAATGGGAATAAAAAACAATAAACTTGATTTTATTGTCTCCAAAAAATTTATAAAAATAAGAACCAAGAAACAAAAACAGTAATCAAATGCTAATATTTTTAAAAAATTAAAAACAAAGAAATATAGGAAGGTTTCCAAACGAGCTCTAAGATCTCATAATCCATACATATAATCGATCACTGAAGTCCTATTGATTGATAATTTCAAACATTAAATTATAAATTTGGTCATTGTGATTTTGACTTAATTTCAATTTTAGTCAATGTGATTTTAAAAGTTTTAATTTAATTCTTATAATTTAAATTTCGTTTCATATAGAAATTTCCATTAAGCAAATCTCTTGCTTTTGTTAAAACCTCACAAGATATCCCTTATGAAACACACTAATTTTTCTTTTTTCTTTTTTCTTTTTTTTTTTTGTAAGCACACAAGAGTGTAATGAAGTTGCAATCAATCCAAATAGAAAACCCCAACTTATTACCACATAAATAAAAGAATATGTCACATATTCAGTAACAAAATAGAGACATTTGGTAAAATATTAGTAACTAATAATTGAAAATTGTAAACCATATCACAATTGAAATTAACTCCAAACCATAAGAATCAAAGGAATCAAATTAAAACTATTATAAAAAACCATAGATATCATATCAAAATTGTAACTGAACTCGTTTCACTACTATAAAATTGGTCTTCCATGACAGTTATGAACAGTAAAAAAGTTTGGAAATAAAAGCTGTCACAAATTGTTGGGGTGCGTTTTTTTGTGGGAAAAAACGATACTTTTCGGATTTTTTTAAATTTAATGACAGTTTTTAACTGCCATGAAACTGAAATTTTTTCTTTCGTTCAATATCAGTTAAAAATTGTCACGAAAGAGTAGAGGTGTCATTTTGAAGATTGTTTTTTGGAATATATTTTTCCACACATGTTTCACATAAATTTACGGTTTTAGCCATGGGAAGATAAAGAGAATCTCATGCAGAATGGGGCCAAAAGAGGGCAGCAAAATTATATTTTATTTTGAGCAAAACTACAAAAGAATCCATTTGGAAAAAGACCAACTCACAAAAAATGCAAAGCCCACCTTTAATTTTTTGTTCCCCTTTTCTTTTATCTTTTCTTTTTACCTTTAATGGGTGGGATTCACTTTAATAAGCTTAGGGAACTCTTCACCCACCTTTTAATTAAAGCATAAAAGAAACATCTATGAATTAATAATTAATTACACAAAGCTGTGATTCTCTATCTCAAGATTTTTCTTTCTTTTTTTTTTTTAATCGTGGGTGGAGAAATAACCTACAAAGTACAAAGACCAATAAACTAGTTTAATTACTCCATTAGGAAAATAATGTTGGATAATCATTTTTAATAAATTATTTTATGATCTACTCTTTTGGTTAATGTATCTATAAAATATTAAATTTACCATAATTCATTAATTTAAGTTTTTTGATTAATTGATGATTTAAGATGTATTAGAATCAAAGATTTTGTGTTAAAATAGTAAGGAGTAAATTTAAATTTTTTGTAGATTTTTTTTTTAAAGATACCTTTAACATTATCATGAGTCTCTCTTTTCTTTTCTTTTTTCTTTTTTGTTTTAAATCACATTTACTTTTGTAGGGATAAAAACATTATTGACCAGGAAAAAAAAAAGGCAAAAGATGAAAACAATAATGAAAGGCTATTTTAGTATATGAGGAAAACATGTAAATTTGGAAAGAAAAACACAAATAGCTTAGGACCCGTTTGGTAACGTTCCTGTTTCTTGTTTCTGTTTCTTCATTTTTAACGATGAAAAATGAGTAGCATGACTACAACATTCTTGAATTTAAGTATGATAAAAAAAAATCTTTAAATTTATGTTTTGGAACAAATTGGAAATGAGAACAAGAAATAAGAAACTTATTTTTGTTGTTTCCAAAATTTTTATATAATTGTCAAAATGTTCTCGGAGGAGAAACAAAAAGCAAAATTAGTTAAAAAATGCTTAGATCTTTTAAGAAAATTGGAAACGAGGAACGGGAATGTTATCAAACGAGCCCTTAAATGATATGATTTATTAGAAAAAAATTAACTAATTAGCTAGCTGTATTAGGCTTTATTTGGTAATTTTTTTTTCTTCTAATTTAATTATTTCTACTCTTTAGAAAACATATGCATTTGGTTAATTACTATCTTTCATTCTTAATTTTCCTATAACTTTATATATAAATAAAACTTTCCTAACAAAAAGTACGAGTTCTTATTTAATATTTAATATTTGTGTATTTATTTTTTTCTTTTAAATATGAATAAATTAATTTACATTTCTCTACTTATAAAATTCATAATAAATATCGAAATTATATTGAAAATAACATAATAGTACTAATTAGTTTAAAATTGAAAACAAAAAAATTCATACTTTAAAATTTTAGAAACAAAAAAAC